AAGTAACAAATTATAGTCATTATACAACTAATGTGATTATATCTTGGAATACTAAACTTCATTTGTCAAATGACGAGTGACTAATAGTTGGCAGCTTGCTCAACGTCCAAGTGTCCAACTCGCTACAATATTATTAGATTTTTTTTAAATACTTCGGACTTGTTTTCTTCAACTTATTTCAAATACTTATTACTTATTCCTTAATAAATTCAGATCAAATAAGAAAGATTCAGATCACACCAGATCAGAACTTTTGATTAACATTTACTTATTGCTAAATATCGTTAATTGCGTATTAAATTTTTTTATAAAAATTACATATTTAAAAAGTTCATAATGAGACGAATCTAACAAGATCCATTTTGATGATATTTTTCTTTATAGATTAGTATTAAAATGTGGTCAAAGTTTAGTCAAATTGCTAATCACATCAGACGAGACCAGACCAGATCAAAAAAATTTAGATCAGACCTTAAAAAATTCAGACTAGATCTTCTTGTTTCAGGTGAAGAGAACAAGTCCTTCATCTACCAAAATTTAGTTGTTTATGGACGGATCAATTTTTGATGAAAAAAAAGTTATCACGTTGACAGGTGTTATAAATTGATTTGTCCATAAACAACTTGACTTAGATTTTGTTCATATTTACTAAATTAAGCAGAAAAGCTGAACTGAACTGAACTGATTGGAGCTGAATTGAATTGAACTGAACTGAAAAGAGCTGAAATGTGTATTTTATGAGAGAAGAAAATTAGGAGCTGAGCTGAACTGAACTGAATTGAAGTGAACAAGCCCTTAATTCAAAATGTTATGATCTAGAAAATTTAATCTGTATGAATATAATAATCTAGCATGACTCAAACTTGAAATGACCTGTCCTAATTAAACCCGACATGAACTCAAATTGACATCTCTAATTTTCCTTGAGTAATATTCTCAAGATTAACTATTAACGTGACAATTAAATATAAATGATAGAGTAATTTTAAAAACACCTTGTCCAGTTATAAGCGTCATATTTAATCATGGTGCCTCCAAATAAAATGGTCCTTCCACTGATTACTATGATTATACTCATGTTAATCACTGTCAACATTGTCGACAAATTATCCTAACCTGTTCTCTATTATTAGTAATGCTATAATCTTTTCCTTTTTCCGTTGACACTTGACATTTAGTTTTGAACCATTGTCTGTCCAAGAAACGACTTCTATTTCTATATATGATCAATCCGCATAATAATCCACATAATTGAACCAATTTCACAACTGTGCCATGCTTCTACTGGTAATATATAATTTATCCCCAAATTGACTAAAATTATTTAAATTAATCTGAACAATTCTTTTGAGTATGCTTTTTTATATAGCCCAACAAGTGGAGTAAATTGTATAATACTACGTATTCTTTTGAAAATATGAAATATTACTAGTTGAAGTCCTCTCTGATTGATGAAATCTGAAACTCCATTGAAGAAGAGAAGAAAGCGAAGAAGAAATCAGAGCTAAATAAGCTTTTCAGAGAGAATTTTTATTGTTTTGTAATATTTGTGAATAATACAAAAGTATGAGAAAACCTCTATATATAGAGATAAAACAGAAAATAGAAATAAGTTTGTTATAACAAACTTTTAACAACCTTGCCACATCAGCAAAGGATTAAAACAAACTCGTAGATTAAAATACCTAGAACCAGCAACTTAATCTTCATGATGTAATCCTGCAGCTGCCTTATGCTGTGAGGTATGCTCGAGCTGATGTATAGAGTTCTGATCAGTGCATACTCCAACACCCCCCTCTAGGTGGGAGGTGGTTGAGAAAACACTCCCAACTTGGACAAGAGCTCATGAAACTTAGTTGAGGGTAGAATCTTAGTAAACACATCAGCCAATTGATGCTGAGTAGGAAGATATGTTAACTGAATCAAGCCTTCTAACACCTTTTCCCTTGTAAAATGGCAATCAATCTATATGTGTTTAGTGCGCTCATGAAAAACTAGGTTCTTTGCTATGTGCAAAGCAGATTGATTGTCACAATACAACACAACAGGCTTAAGATTGCACACTCCAAGTTCTTCTAGCATCCTGACTAGCCAAGCTACCTCAGATGCTGCAGTTGCCATAGCTCTATACTCTGCCTCCGAGGATGACTTGGAAACAGTAGCTTGCTTAGATTTCCAAGAAATTGGAGATCCACCAAGTAGCATAATATGACCTGTAATAGATTTTCTGGAATCTGAACAAGAGCCCCAATCAGAATCAGAATATGCATGTAAATAAAGAGTACCAGAGGCTCTAGCAAAATGCCTTGTCAGTCTGAATGATAAATATATCTTAGAGTGTGATGGAGAGCTTCCTTGTGAGAACTTCTAGGTAACTGCACTGGCTTAAAGACTGAACTACAAAAGCCAGATCAGGTCTGGTGTTGGTCAAGAAATTCAGTTTACCAGCCAATGACTTATACCACTCTGCATTGTCCAAAAGAACACCATCTGTGGCAGTGAGTTTGATATTAGCTGGGAGAGGAGTAATAGCCTTCCTACTCAAATCAAGACCACATTCTTGCAACATTTCCCTTGTAAATTACTTTTGACCGAGGATAATTCCTTGATCACTATAACCAACCTCAATCCCAAGAAAATAGTTCAGCCTTCCAAGATCTTTGATGCTGAACTCTTAATGAAGATGATTCTTGAGAGCACTAATCCCAGCAACATCAGTGCCAGTTAGAATAACATCATCATCATATACTGCTACAATACTGTAGGCGTCGCTCGATGTGCGCCTATGTTAAAGCATGTGTGAATATGCTTGGCACTCTTAGGAAGTGAGAATTGACATATACGATTAGGGACAACGATTAGGGACAAAGCAAAGTAGGGAGCCGCCAAAAAGTTTTTAAGGAACTTGTAAACCGTTCACGGATCATTATAAGGTAACGATAGGCAACAACGATTGTCCCATGAAGGTTACACCCCATTCATAATCCATGAGATTACTAACTCCATGTGGTTCGGAACCACGAAAGGAGGATCGAGGATGATGGTACGAAGTGAGTCATGGAGTCACATTCGCCCGTATTGGCCTCTACTCGATTCTTATTGTGAAAAGTGATTCTTGCGATCTCAAAGGCATACAAACAAAGATTCAATTTTCTCCAACCTATTATTAAGCCAAATTGATTTAATATTAATGCAACACATTATTCTAAAATATCGTGATCACTTGAATTAATAACAAGATTAAAAAGGAACCTAAATCGATCGTCCAAATTATCTTATTAGGCGTGATTTTCAATTACATATTCCCTTTAAACATGCAATATAGTGATCATAAATAATATAATAGAATAAACATTAATATTGGAAGCAATTCAATAATAATAATGTTAGTCAAATCGAATAATAAATAACCTAATCATGATAGTAGCAATATTAAAATAAAATAAGAGTAATTAAATTAATTAATTAATTACTCACATTCTGCGCGTTCCTTTAAATTGCTACATCATGAATAAACTGTTAGTAACTTCAATAAAATAATATAGATAAAATAGAAATTAAATTAAATTAAATAAAAAGTAGAGTTGATTTGGTCCAAACCCTCAGTTATGTGTACCTTTCACGCCTTGGTTTAAGGACGGAACCTCGGGTTAAGTATGGACTCCTTGGAGTGCTTAAGGGAAGAATGATGTAATTAGGAATATAGTTTTAAAGCTTAGAATATGGGAGATAGAGAATAGAATGTTTTTTGGTGCAAGAGAGAAAGAGAGAAGGATTTGATGCCCCGAACTGCAGAAAGGGGGGGGGGGTCCTATTTATAGGGAAAATGAGCAGAGGGAACACGCGAAACCCTAAAAAGATAAAAACCCTAAAAAATAACATCGTGTTACGGAAAAGTGCACCGTGACAGGCACCGTCAGACGGGGGAAGATCCCGTGACACGGGGGAAAACTGAGTGACGCGGGAAATAATTAGGTTACGGGAAGTGAAAATGCGTTTAGGGATTACGCGGAGAAAACACGGAGCAATCCCGTGTCACGGGGTGTGCACCGTGAAACGGGAAGAAATTTCGTGACATGGCATTGTCCACCGTGGCACAGTGCAGTATGCCGTGTCACGGTGTAAAAAGTACGCAGAAATTACACGGAATATTCCCGTGTCACGGAATGGGTGCCGTGACACGAGAGAAAATTGTGCATAATTACAAAAATTGGCACCGTGTCATGGGAATTAGCCCCGTTACACGTCAGCTTTTGCCGCGTCAGCGGCATTTTAGCTGCTGCGCGGTAATTTCAGTTTTATACCCGTTTTAAAAATAATCATAACTTTTGATCCGTAATTCGGAATAAGACATATAATATATCATTGGAAATATTATCAAGTCTAATTTCCAAAACAATTAGAATCAGGTCGAAATGAGTTGTAGATTTTAAGATATGGACGTTTTAGTGGAAGGGTGTCGGTTTTAGGCCGAGTTTAGTGTTTTGCTCATATCTTTTTCGTTATAGCTCGAAATTAGGTTTATTATATATGGTTGGAAAGGTTATTTAAAGCCTATCCAACAAAATAATAAATAAATCAAAATTATATAGCCATAAAATCAGTTTCTCTCGGTTTTGCGATGTAGACACGAAAAGTGGAAAATAGGTTATGGTTTAGGGAAATGAGCTAGAAATTGGATTGGTTCATGAAATATATTTGATAGAAAATGGATTTAAGCACTCCAAATTTTAAATACTCAATCCGACCAATAATGGCGGTGAAAGGTTTTCATCAACGGGTTTGGTTTTGGGGAGACATTTTTAAATTAGGTGTCTACAAATACAGAACAAACCATCATTGCTCTTCTTCAAGAATAAACTGTAGTCATTCTGAGACTTCTAAAAGCCTTGATGCACCAAATACTGAACAAGATTCTCATGCCACTGTCTAGAAGCTTGTTTGAGACCATGCAAAGATTTTCTCAGCTTGGAAACCTTATTTTGAAAATTAGGAAGCCCTTAAGGAACCCTCATATATACTTCCTCCTTTAAGTCACCATGCAAAAACGCATTGTTCACTTCTAATTGAAAGATTGACCAATTATAGCAGGACTGAATGTTAACCACAAGAATAAATGTTTCCTGATAATCCACACCATACTTCTGATTAAACCCTTTAGCTACCAATCTGGACTTACACCTCTCCAAATCACCATTGGCTTTTAATTTTACCTTAAAAACCCACTTGCATCCTATGGGTTTCTTTCCCTTAGGTAGGTCAAATAATTCCCAAGTATTATTATCACTGAGTGCCTTGAGCTCTTTTTCCATGGCCTCCACCCAAACTTCCTATTTTGCAGCTTCTTAATAAGTAACAGGCTCAATAATACTTTAGGTTTGAGCCAAAAGGCTTGAAACTCAGATGGAAAAGCAGAAGCAGTAACTATGTTACACCAACTGCTGTCACTCTCAGTATTGTCATTAGTAGCTGTGTAACATTCATAAGCAGAAAGATAGGAAGGTGGTCTATCTGGCCTGGAAGATTGTCTAATCTCAGGTTGTATGTTAATATCAGAAATATCCAGGGCAGTTGAAGGATCAGAAGAAGAAGAAGAAGTGTTATGAGAGTTAACAGGTGAAGATGAGATATCATCATGAGAAGGGAAAATAGATTCAGGACAAGAAAAATCAAGGGAGTCAAATGTGTTTAGTGAAAAGGAGGCAGGAAGGAAAATGGCATGTGAGTAAATAGAAGTTTGAGAATTTTGGGTAAGTGATTTATGAAGAAGATGGTAAGGAAAGTGTCTCTCATGAAAATGGACATCTCTGGTTACAGATATTCTGTGAACCTCAATATCTAGGAAAGTGTCTCTCATGAAAATGGACATCTCTGGTTACAGATATTTTGACTGGAGGAATATCTGTAAGGAGGGTGTTCCCATCGTAAGGGATCCTTCTCCTTAGATGCCCATGACTCCTTAAAGCCTAGGACTTTACAATTGTTAGGGTGTATTAGGATTTGAATTCCTGACTGTTTGGGAGACCTTTGAATTAGTGATGATTCTATCATATACACTTTTTTGTAAGAAGCAAGTAGAGGAGTCGCCAATGAGTTTTAGGAAAAACCCATAAACCTCGTTCATGCCTTTCTCCCAAGTAGAGTTCAAGGGATATTTAGCATGAATCATAAGTTTACCCATGCCCAAATTGGTCTAGAAAACCAGAAATGAGTTCGGGAGCGAGGGTACTAAGATAACGTTCCCTTTAGAGGGGAATCGCGATCCTATCCCTAGTGCGGCCTCTACTAGCTCTTCCTTTGCACAATTTCATTGCCAAACAATATATGCAACGTGATACCTAAAAACTATGTTAATTGATTTTATTTACACACATTAATTCACACAGGAATTACATAGTAAGGTCGTTATTCTTATTTAATCAAATTCGTTAAAAGAACAATAAAATAAACAATATTCGCCTTGACTTAGGTGATCAACCAACAATTATTTTATTCAATTATAATCTTGATTAACGAAAGAATACTATGTGAAATCAATTAATTTATTATTTTAAGGCGATAAAACAACACTAATTAATTAATTAAAGTTCTTTTAAACAATAAAAATAATGGTGATTTAACTAAGTGCTCGGGAATTTACCACTTCTCTTTTCTAGATCTCCGTTTAGAACACTTATGGACTCCTTCTTGTTGGGGAACCTCCACCGTAGTAATAAAATATCAAAAAGGGTGAGTGTTTAGGACAAGAGGGTTTGGATGCATAAGTTCACAAGTATTCTGCCAGAGTTTAGGTTAATTTTCTATGTGTTGAAGCCTCGGATTAGGGTCTTATTTATAGGGAATGATTAGGTTTAGGGTTTAGAGCATTCTACCGCAGCAGGTGTCGCGCGTAACTGAGTAGGTTGCGCGCGGCTGTCGCGCGCAATTGAATAGGTCTCGCGCGGTATACGCGCGCAACTATTTGTCTTGCGCGTAGCTCTATGGTAAGATTCGATTTTCCAATATTTTAATATTCTAAATTTGACGCGAGCGCATCTCTGAGAGTTGCGCGGGCTGCCGCGCGCAACTTAATAAGTTGCGCGCGACTGTTGAGCGCGACTTTGTGAGATGCGCGTGATATTTTCCGCGACAACTTTTATTTTAACCTAGACGCTCCTAAATCCGTTATTATTGGGTTTTAAGCACGGGATTAAGCCTAATTATGACCGGGTTTAGTTAATTTGGACCTTGTGTTGGCCTTGTTCTTTTATCTGGGCTAGTCTTTTGTGTTTTGTGGCTTAACCAGTTATCTATAAGCATTCTTTAATTTGATCCAACACGAAGATGGTGAGTGTTTAGGACAAGAGGGTTTGGATGCACAAGTTCACAAGTATTCTGCCAGAGTTTAGGTTAATTTTCTGTGTGTTGAAGCCTCGGATTAGGGTCTTATTTATAGGTAATGATTAGGTTTAGGGTTTAGAGCATTCTACCGCAGCAGGTGTCGCGCGCAACTGAGTAGGTTGCGCTCGACTGTCGTGCGCAACTATTTGTCTTGCGCGTAGCTCTATGGTAAGATTCGACTTTCCAATATTTTAATATTCTGAATCTTACGCGAGCGCATCTCTGAAAGTTGCGCGGCCTGCCGCGCGCAACTTAATAAGTTGCGTGCGACCGCTGAGCGCGACTTTGTGAGTTGCGCGCGATATCTTCCGCGGCAGCTTTTATTTTAACCTAGACGCTCCTAAATCCGTCATTATTGGGTTTAAGCACGGGCTTAAGCCTAATTATGATTGGGTTTAGTTAATTTGGACCTTGTGTTGGCCTTGTTCTTCTATCTAGGCTAGTCTTTTGTGTTTTGTGGCTTAACCAGTTATCCATAAGCATTCTTTACTTTGATCCAACACGAAGATAATTTTATTTATCGTCATTGCACTTCCTGTCGGGACATGAGGCTAAAAGTAGATGTCTACAGTTAGTTCCCACTTTGATCGAGTCTAGAATAGACGATGATCAAAGTAGTCAAGGAAAAATCCGAGATTCATTCTGCGAAGTTCTCCAAGGTTAGAGAATCTTTCAGTAAGGTTTAAGGATGTCGAAACAGTCCTTGGTTCGCTAAGTGTTTGAAACAAATAACTATTAAGGCTAGAAAAAGTTTCCCCTAGTCTTAATGCGCTAAAGAATCTAAATTGATCCTTTGCAATTAAAGAACGCTTTTACAAGTAAAGGTGTTCTGGGTGATGTCAAGTCATGGGAAGAGATCGGTTTTAAAAGAATAAAAGGGGATGATTTCCTCCCAATCATGTCATCGTTGGTCTAAAGTCCCTCGATATGTCATTGAAACTTTAGCATGACTTTAACAAAGTAAAAAGAATGAAAAGGGGTTTTCGATATGTGAATCGAAAAGGGGTCCGGTATTCGAGCCGAGTCCGGTATTCGAGCCGGATGTCCAGAAGATAGAAATACATGTCTCAGGACTAGAGACATATATCCAAATCCAGTGAGAGAGAAGAAAGTCAGCAACTCTCTCAGTAGTTTTGTCCACAAGATGAGTACACGTGTCTCAGGACTGGGGGCACGTGACTACATGGGTGCGACATCGTTCCGTCGCTCTTTATACAGGGGGTGGACGAACACCCTAACTGTCCGATAAGTTAGTAAGCTCACTAACTACCGTATTTGATTCCCTTCACGAAGAGCCTGAACCTGAAGGTTCGGCGCGCCTGTCGACTCGTGAGCTAACGCCTACAGTAAATAGTCAACCTTTTAGTTCTGAGAGGTAGATCTCGCAAATCTTGGGTTGTGGTGAAATTTTACGCAACACCTACGCCGTACAATTTTACGCTGTACGCTACGCCATTTGCATTTTTACGCTGCATGAAAACTCCTTCCTTTTGCTTCGTACGTGAAAAAGAAGAAAACCCAGACACTTATATCGTCAGTACAGTAAAATGACAAACCTGTCTATGGGTGCTTTTACGTAAAGCACCACCACGAAACGTCTTAAGGCACGCTTATGAAAAACGTTCAAAACGTATGCTTGGGGAAGGCACAAAGCACGGTGTGCATGCAAAGATGATGCAAAAATCTATCAAAGAAGAAAATAAACTACAAATGCAAAGCAATTTAAAAAGGATTTTGATAAATTCGCGCGCTATTACGTCTAATAACGAGCGAAAACCATTGAAAAATGATCAAACATCCGGACACCGGTCATTTTTGTGACCAGTATCCGCGCGCAACTCAGTAGGTCGCGCTGGCCAGCCGCGCGCATCTTTCTGAGTTGCGCTCGTGTGTCACCGCAACTTCTGAAGTTGCGCGCGACATTCAGTTCAGCAAAAAGAAAATCGCAGAAGCGATTTTTCATTTCGCTTTCTCTCTCTTTCCTTCCTCCATTTTCGCCCCTTTCTCTCTCTATAGAGCTCGGATTTTTGTGATTTTAACGCTAAAGGAAGCAAATTTCTTTCTTAATTCATTTTTGCCATAATCCAATGTAAGTCTTTTGCCATTTTTTTTTCTCTTTTTTGGCTGAATTCGAACGATTTTCGAATCATTAAACCCCAATTTTTGAATTTGGGGTTTTTCTATTTTGTCCATTATTCTTGAAATTGTTTGTTCCATGTTGTCATACTATGCTCAAGGAGTGTTTTGCAACAAATTTCATGAAAAAATGGTTAAGTATTGAACCTTGTATGAGCATTTCTTCGCTTAAGTTCGTTCTTGCCTTTTTTTTGCTTGAATTCTGCTCGAATTTGTTTTTTTCTTGCTCATTTTGGTTATACTTGTTGATTATGAAGTAGATTATAGTATTGGAACTAACATTACTTTCATAATTCATATTTTGTAAATTTTGAAATTGAAAAATGGCGCGAAGTATATACTTAGTTTGTTTTTGCCATATTCGAACTTCAAGATTGTTTGGTAGAAGATAATTGCGTTTTGTTGTTACTATTATTCGCCTGAAAATAATTGATTCCTAGAGATTTTGAAATATAATCTCTTGAATATTAGTTGAAACTGGTATAGGATGGCTTTTGTGGGTGTTTGAAAGCCTCCATTTACTGAGTTTAATTGCAGGATCGTAGCCCCCAAGCATGGGTGGCATTCGATTTTCGTGTTTCATCCTATCGGTAGACGTTATGCTGCCGAAATGGATCTAGAACACGTTTATTAGCTTAGTTTAGAAAGTAAACTACTCATTTATCATAGCATGGAATCGCCTCCATTCGTCGATGCTGAGGAGATTTTAGTAGGTCCTGACGAGGTAGTTCGTGAGATCCTTCTAGCAGCGGAGGATGATGAAGGGATACCGTTTTTTCCTGAGACGACTGAGTCGGTATGTCCTTTTGTATATGTACTTAAAATACTTCTATTTTTGTTTCAGATACATTTATTTATTAACTGTTCTTGTATTTTTTTTTGGAACAGGTTCCGCGGGAGACCTTGAACGGCATGGTGAGGACCTTATGTGCTTTCTGAGCTGCTTATCGGAGAGCCCTCGTGACTTTGTCATGCCGTGATCATCGGATGATTGCGGTAAGTTTTATATATTTATTTGACGAAGTTATTACATTGCATGTATTAATCTTCGGTTTAGGATTTTACAGGATGTACAGCAGCCGTCTAATAGTCGCAAAGAATCCTGAGCCCTTTTGTACACATTTTATTATTATTATTATTTTTTAGGAAACATTGTACATAGATTTCTTGTCTTTGTTGTACATATGACACACATTTTTTTTTTTTTTTTTGTATATATCATATTATTATTTTTTGTTTCCATGTGTACTTAAAAAAAAACAAAAAAATTTCTGAGGGAGGGAAAGGGTTCCCGATTTACCCCCTCGAAAAAATAACAAAAGAAAGAAAGGAAAAGGAAAGAAAGAGAGAAAA